AGACACAATAAAGAAAATCTCTAACTTTTTACTCTCATCTAGTGGCCATTTGAATTTTTGCAGCCTAGATATGGTAGCTCTTGTCAAATCCCATATCCTGTTTATCCATCTGTGAACAGAATAATCATCTTTGGATCTTCACTGGCAAGCTGTCTGAAATGTGGCAGTAGTGAGAGAAAATTCAAGGAGTTCCTAATATAACAGTTCATATTTTTAAAGAGAAAACTGAGTATAGTGGCTGCAATTCTAAATTAAAGGGGGGGGGAGGCTGCCATTTTTTTCTGTTTTATTAAAGATGTTAGCCGAGAAGACATGAACGCTGAAATAGGGCTACCATGTTTGGTAGGATGACCTGATTACATTATGTTCCTTTTAATACTTTAGGAATAGTGTTAGAAAGAGGATTAGTTGTGATTAACATGATGAGATTTTGCCATATGTAATAGCAGTATGTGGGCACATTTGGTTGCCATTTTTTGAAGTTTAACTGAGTTTTGAATAGATAGAGAATTTTAGCTTTTTTAAAAGAAGAGGAGGAGGTGCCATCTTTTTTTTGAGCTGTAGGCCACACTTGGACTTCAGTGGTAATCTGGAAGATGCACCTCAAATAATAGAAAGCAATCTGTTGTCCTCTGTTGTCCCAGGCTGCTTTTCCTTCCCAGATCTTCTTCGCTTTTGCCTACTCTCTTCTGCCTTTGAGACAAGCCTAAATGCCAAGGTTTTTCCTTTTTCCTTCCTTTCTTCCTAAGGAGTCCTAATATTGTTGTGTTTAGGATACCTATATAAACAAATATGTGTTTCATTCATTGAACTGGCATGGCATTCTCCAAAGAATCTCAAAACAAATTTGGTGAGTTGATTGATTATATGCCATCAAATCAGTGTTGACTCTTAGCAGTCACACAGATAGACCTTCTCAAGGATGATCTGTCCCCAACCTGGCCTTCAACAGTGCTCTGGTTACCTCTGTAATTAAGTCCATCCAGTTTGCTGCTGGTTGGATATTCAGGATATTGTGCAATATTTGCACACTCTGTTAAGTCTCCTTTCTTTTCTAAGAATGCTTGTGGTGTCCATTTGGGTCAAGTCCCCTGGAATCCAAATGATAGCATCTGTGACCAATGCCACCTTTCCATTTATTTTATTAAACTTTTTTTAAAAAAAAAAAGTAAACCTGGCGGATGCCAGGGGTGTGATCCACGGGCATATTCCCAGTCCTTGCTTTAGAAGTCTCTTCTCTGAAAAGAAGACTTTGTCTCATTTTATGAATGAGTTCCTGGCAGAGAAGAAGAGCTCCATTGAAACTGTTTGATGGTAGATCATGTCTGGAGATGCATTATTGGCCCATTTATGGTGGTGCTCTTTAGAATTTTTTTTGTGTTAATGAACATTAGCAATCAGAAAGGGGGGAAAGTTGCTGAAAAGTTGCCGTAGAGAGCTTTGGCTAATCAGTCTCAATTACTTCAGTCCTAGCAAGAAAAAAATTAAAAAGCTTTTTCAGAAGCAAGGCACGTTGATTGGTCATGCACAGTTATAAAGGAGAACAAAGGGACAAAGGGAAAGTAGAGGTGATGCTGAATTCTTCATTCATTCATTCATTCATTCATTCATTCATTCATTCATTCATTCATTCATTCATTTATTTATTTGGCTTGTATGCCGCCCATCTCCCCCACGGGTGACTCTGGGCGACTCACAATAAAAAAGAAGAAATACATAAATATTATGTTTAATATATTGTGGTGTAAATTACCTTTCATCTTACAGATGATTAAGGAAGATTTTTTTTCTCCCTTCTCACCAAGATTGAGCTTGCCATCTCTTGAACCACAAGAAAAAGAACCAGATGGGGCACACAGGTTAAAAGCAAGACCTTTACTCACTTTTAGGAAAGCATTAAAGGGCAGCCATGAACTTCAGCTTTTCGGGGACTATGTTTTTTGGCAGGGGGAATGGGTTGGCACTCCCTTTTGGCCCGTGTGAATCGAGTTTGGCTTCTGCTGCCCTGTTTACGGGGCCCCCGCCAAGTCTTTTCTTCAATATTTCTTTCTTTGGTGCAGCTGAGCTTTTGATCTTGCTTTTACTCACACAAACATGGATTGACCTTCGCACAACCTGCCTGCTGACAAACTGTGCAAGTGTTTTGGTACCCCAAGATCTCAGAATGAACTTGCTTTGGCCAGTTTGGTTGTTTTTGTTTTGAAAGAGAGAAGATCGGAAAAAATGCAGCTAGCAAATAAATATTTCCAATCTATAACCCCAGACTGGTAGAGTCAAGTGTAAGCCCAGGTTCAGGTCAGATAAAATAAAGCAGGGGGACTGGAAGCTGCCCATAACTGACAGGATCCTTGCACTGGGAAGGGTTTTCTGCAGATCAAAAGGAAATGTGGGAGAATACGTGGGAGAGGGAGGGAGAGGGAGAGGGAGAGAGAGAGAGAATGAATGTGTTGCTTTCTCTCCTAAACGATTAGCAAGGAATGGGTTACCACCACCAGAAAATTCCAGGGCAGTAGGCTTCGAATAGGAAGTTGAAAAAGCATACTGGCCAAGGGAATCGCTTCTGAAAGTCAAGAAATTTATAGGAATATGTTCATGAAGCCCAGGAATCAACCGAAACTGTTGTCTTTGAAAGCTTCACTAAATGCAAGAGAGCTTTCTCCAGTTTCACTTGTTTGTTGGGTTTGTACAACATTCTTAACCTGGTAAATCAACAGACCCACTCCCTGGCTTTGGACAACACGCTGAACCATAAATGAATGGGCCAAGTTTCCACAAAACCAAGGTTGATGCTGATCAAGGTCACACATTGTGCAAATGTAGCTGCTAGGCATTACATTGGTGTGGCTAAACCCTTGCCAACACAGCCTCTATGGGTGGGTGCCTGTGAGAAAGAACCTGGTCTTGTGTATGGAGTGGGTCGTCTTCCCCTCCCCTGTGTGGGGATGGAAAGGTGGCATTAAAAGTGGGGCTTTCTAGCCTGCTTTCATGGGCTTGGTTTACACATTTAATTAAACCGTGGTCTGTTCAATCCTGGCTTATTGTATAAAGCAAAATGGCTGAGTTCAGCCATCATGCAAACACTAACCAATCCCCATGATGGTTAGCGCAATGTGCAAACCAGGCCTCTGGGTCTCTGGATGTCTTTGCACTGCATGGCAATCTGTGGTTAACTCTATCCATCAATAAGGAATTTACCCATGATACAGCCAGCAGACAAGGGGGTTCTTTGAAACCCCCTGAGCAGGTGCTTCTGCTGGTTCTTTGTTCTTTGGAAAAGAAGTTCAGTCTGCCTGGTTAGGAGATCACAGCAGTTCTGGGTTTATTTTATTTCAGTTTTTTCTCTGTGATCCTGTTGAGCTTAGAACCACTGTATGGACACTGGGGAAGTTCCTCTTGATTTTTACAAATAATTTCTGTTTATATGGAGAAAGTAACAGAGAGAGAGAGAGAGAGAGATGCATATCTATAGCAGCAGATGCTACCATCTTTTTTTCTGGAGAGTTTAATCATTATGCAACCCTAAAGTGTCCATTAATCAGGTTTCCAAGCCAAGAACAAACCATGGTTTTAGATTATTGTATCCTTAAATCTTCAACCCTTATGTTTTAAAGATTATTTTAATGTGTGGGGGAGTGTGTTTATCACTCAATAAACAAAGAAAAACATCGCTTCCAGAAAAGAAGAAACCATTGTTCTCACATCTCTCTTGTGTTGCCATAAGATGGGTATTCAGTTGAGCTCTAGGAAGAGTTGCATTCAGACTTTGGAGAGTCTTTCCAATGGTGCCAACAAGCTGATTGTATAACTAACCATGGAACTAATTTCTGGTTTGTCTAACCTGCCAAGTGACTGTCATGAACCCTGACACTCACCATTTTACAGAACAGGTGAAGCACCTCTCCCAAGCTTGGTATTTCTGCGTTTTCAACTCCATTATAATTTCTTTTCAAGGGCTGATCCTAGAGCACTTCCATAGGAAAACTCTTCAGCAGTTTGAAACCAATCCCAGATTCCAGTGAAGCCATGACATCAACTGTGTTCAAGAGCTGAACTGATTTATTTCTAAGTTCAGGTGTAATGTATTTGAAACTGCAGTAAAACCAGTATCCCTTCCCCTTCCCCTTCCCCCCTTCCTCCCTCCCTTCCTTCCACTACAGCTTTGGATCCACTTCCCTGTTTGCAGGACTTCCTACCCTACCATGCCTCCTGGCTCCCGAAGCTTTAGGTTTTTCAAAGGGAAGGGTAGCTTGCTACATTTTTGTACTCCTCCTCATAGGAACTGTCGGGATTTTTTCCCTGTACATGATCAGATAAACACATACAACATGAAGTAAGCATGTGGATTGGGTGTTTGTATGTGGGTCTGAAGATGATTGTGGATCATTTTCAAACTGCTTCTGTGGGATGGCAGAGTGAAAACAGCACAGAAATGCCCTTCATTTGAACTGATTTTTTACCCATGTCATTTCTGAAAGCAGCAGCGCATGAAAGAGGATGTCTCCAGCCAGTTGTTAAGCAGAATTAGTTTTTCAGTATAAGACAACAGATCGCTCTGCTGTTTAGCAATTAATAATGATGAAGTACGGGGTGCATTGGAATTATTAGTACAAAGCTGCAAGACAGAAAAACCAGACATATTATCTTAGTACCCTAAAGCTTTATGGAATAATAGAAGGAGAGAATCTTCTATGAGCACTAAGCATTCTTGTACCCTCAATATTACTACGATTGCTAATTATAATATATGGTGCTTTTGAAGTTCAAAGCCTTTATCTCAGTAAATCCTTCAGCAAATCTGCCACAAAGGTCAATATTGTTATTTTGCAACATAGAATACTATGCATTGAACCCCAGATTTGATAGATTCTCCCTCTTCTTACCATGTCCGGTGCGTCCCTATCTCTTACCTGTATAGCTAGCCGTCTTCCTTCTCTGCATTCTGACAGAACAACCCAATACCTGTGCGTTACCTTGATGCAGGGATTTCCTTCCTCTTTCAGGGTTACCTGTCTGAAGGCCTTGTAACCAAATGGTATCGATCACCTCGCTTGCTCCTTTCACCCAACAACTACACCAAAGCCATTGACATGTGGGCAGCTGGGTGCATCCTGGCAGAAATGCTTACGGGAAAGATGCTTTTTGCTGGTAAGTCTCCAATTTTTTTATATACATTTCTGGTTCCCCAATGGAACTTTAAAAATTCTTGAAACTTCTTGTCTGTGGTCTTTTTTTTTTTTTTAAAGGCCCATCTAGGGAACAAGTCCATGGAATCCTTTTTTTTTTTTCATTTATAAAATGGGGGGTGCCTGCAGGCTCTGATAATCATCTGGATGTCCAATTTGTGGCATGGGGGAAAAAAAAGTTTCTGGTCCTCATCAGGTGGGAAATACTCCTTCCCTCCTACCTTTGATTTGACATCATCCAACATACAAAAGGTGTGGAAGGAAGGAATTAGTCCTTGGGTTGGATCCCTGAGTGGGATCTTCACAAAGTAATAGAACTCTTCAAGAAGGTCTTATTTTAGCTCTGTCAGCCAGATCCATAACGGAAAGGCAAGGACGTGCCCTGGTAACAAGAGGTCAACCTGCCCCGTTTGCCACTCGATTGCTCACAATGCCTTCACTTTCTGTCTGCTCAGCACCACTTGGGGAATCATCATGAGTCCTGCTTGGTAACCAAGAGAAGCGTTGCAAATTGGTGTCATACCCTTGGACTGTTGCCCTGATAGCTTCCCCACAGCAGCTGTTTTAATAGCAGTATTAAATAATGCATACGCCAAGCTCTCGGATTAAAAACAGCAAGAGGGGAGAAGATGCAGTGGATCATCAGGCTGACTTACTCGCCATTGGGCTGAAATGTGCTAGAGCTGGTTAGGGGGCCGGGATGTTCAATGAGCCCAATATCGGTGGAGTCTGTGCTGTGAATTTGCTATGCAGGACCTTGGTTATTCTATTATGGTTAGTTTAATTTTGCTTTATGCTTGGTTTATAGAGTTTTTTTTTAAAATATTGTGTTTTGTTGATTGTTATTAGCCACCCAGAGCTCATATGTAAGGTGGGTGGCCATAGAAATTTTCTTAAATACTGTAAGTAAATAGACCAACATCATCTTCACCTAAAGTGCTGATTTTATAAACTTCTTCCAAACGAAGAAATGTCCTCAGTTGCAAGAAATGTTGGGGAGAAGCTGGAAAAGGAGCTATGGGTATTTATTCAGGACTAGAATGCCCCTCCTGCTGTTACTTAACAAATAAACAACGCTTCGTTTTTGGTTGGCCCAACTGCCTTTTGTTCTTCTTTGTGTTTGCTATTATTCTAAAATCACTGCCTGTTACTTATTTTGCAATCCTGCAAGATTTCAGCACTTTGGGGAAGCAGCTGCACACAGCTTCCTTAAATAAATAATAAGATTAATTAATAATGGATTCCATGTCCTGCTCTTCTAAAATAATTTCACCCAAGAAGAACTGGTAACGTTGGATGGCCACCTTCTATAATTTAGAGATGAACTTGGTCCCCAAAGCAAGCTGGTTGGGGTGGGGGGATCCAGAGGTTTTTCCACCCTGTAGCAAGCTTATGTTCAAAGTGTTAGGCTGCCTACCAGAAATAACTCAATTTCCCAGGCTGCAGATCGTAATTGGCGTCTCTTTGGGGAGTGAGTGAAAGAATATCTCAGAGTGAGGGTGGGGTGTTGGCAACCTGGCATTCATAGGCACTATGGTGCCTCTGATCACAAAAGCTGGAACCCTCCGACCTGCAAAATGAAAACGAACGATAGATCAAATGAATAGATACTATTGTTTGTAAGTCTTGGGATCTGGATGGTAGATAAATAAATGAAATGAATAAAACTTGTGTTTTAATAAATCAAATATTTGTGTTTGTGCCTGTTACTTACTAGGCTCTATGTCAGAGCCTACAGCAGTGGCCATGTGTCATTCATGTGTATCAGAGTGACCTGAACAAAATAATGTTGAGGGTAGAGTTTTTGGTCACTGTTCCAATGGGCCAGCCATAACCTTCTCCAGGATATTCCATTCCATTCCATTCCATTCCATTCCATTCCTGTTTACTGTCAGGGTTTTCCCCCATTCTCCTGTATCTAGTCCAGAGATGGCAAACCTATGCCACATGTGTCAGAGATGACACCCCATGACATTTTGGGTGACACGCCAGCATTCACCAACACCCAACAACTGTTCGTCCTGTTTGAGTTACCCAAGAAACTGAATTTCTTTTACTCGTATTTCGTTTTTGTAATTATTTGATGTTTCTTTATATAATACCTAGCACCACACATGAT